GAGGAAGAGGAGGACACAGGAGGAACATGTGTTGTATGGGTGGCGCTGATTGATCCACTGGTCACCGTCTCTGGAGCAGATAAACAAGATTTTTCGGCCCAACGCCCAACTCCGGCCTGTCAACTCGATATGCCTTCATGAGTGCATATTTAAAATTTTTGTTTGAAAGCTCGAGAAAAAAGATCTCAATGCACTCGTTGGCCAGTAATAGTTTTTTTATTTGTAGTTTTCCTCGATTTCATTCGACCTTTGAAAGAAAAACCTGCCTCAAGATCACACCTTTTGTTCAAAAAAACAGAAGCAAAAAAAAAAAAAAAAAAAATTATGAAACTACGTTATTTGGTCATCTTATTTATTTACTGAAAAGCAATAATTTGGATGCAAAAAGGTAGTGCGAGTTTCTCTATTACTTTGAAAAATGGATGTCGAAAGCGCCTCTTATACACGATAACTAACAAAAACCACATGCATGCAAAAATAAACTGATTCAAAATGGATATGAGGAAAAAAATAAAATTAAGAACGCGATGAAGCGAAGCCGACCCAACATAAATCACCATAACCCAATCTAATATGTGTATATTGTGTATGTCTGTTTTTTCACACACATATTGAACTGAACGATGGGAAAAAAAAAATTCCACCACACGCACATCCGAACACCCGCACACACAAACGATAAAATAGAGCAAAAGCGAGCAGGTGTTGTGCCGGTACTCGCAGCGCTGGGCCAAGGACTACTTGCGCCGTCGTCTGGATTGGACGGTTGACGAAGAAGGTGGTAATCCTTCTTCACCCCGGCATCTTACTTCGGCTCTATGTCCCTGCCAATATGTCGAAGAATGGTTGCGTAATAAGAGCCACGTGCAAGGACGCGATTTCTGTCCCGCTTGGAGTAGTTTTCTTCGTGACCAGGGAATTTGAGATAATTTTTTTTCCCCTTTTAAAGTGGAAAAAAAAGTAATAGTGGTACTGGGATGATGACAATAGTGGCGATCGTTGTGATGATGATTGCTATTTACTTTTGCTCCCTCGTCTTTATAACTGTTTTGCTCTAATAAGCTATAGACAAGAACTGATGCACCAAGCGAGATCTTCTGGTGTTATAAAATACTTGTGACATATTTAATCTGTAATGATTGCATTTTTTTCAATTCAATCCCACCATTTAGATGCTATTTTGAATTAGACCCACGATCCTTTTGATTCCAGTAATCCCATGTAAAAAATATTCCCATCTATTTTATATATACAGTTAACGTTCATTGTTGTTATTATCGCCTTGCTCGAGATTAGATTCAATCAGTCACTATGAAGACGCTGTTGGTTATTGACTCAGATTGGGCATGCAAATAACGTATATATATGCTGTATGTGCTTATTGCTGTGTTTTATTGCTTGTAGTAGCTCTAGTTTGCGGCTCACATCTCAAGTATATTTTTTCTGATGAACTAGCTGCGACGTGAAACTTTAGTGCATTACGGTGCTGACTGCTGAGGATGTATTATTATTTTTATTTTTTTTTATTTTTTTTTTTTTTTACTTAACACTATTGGAGAGAAGATACAGTGATTGATTGATGTTTGGCGTGTGTCTGCCTGTAAGGATACAAAGCTGCATGATTTCCACGGTGTATGCTTTTATATTCTAAATTTAGATTTTGTTTATTCCATCTTTTGGATGTGCATAGGTTGATAATTGTGTGAGGATTCCACCCAATTTTGATTGGTATTATTTTTTATCAATATCTTGCAATTTATTGTGCCTACAATCAATCAATGTAACTATAAATCTTGGTCAGTTGATTTTAAATTGTGTACATTTTCATCCCACTTCTTGTTTACTTTATTACACTTAATTTTGTAAAGTTTTTATGCATACCGTTACTGTTTAAATTTTAGAGGTGTAAATAAACCATGAGTTCACCAGTGCCAGAAGATATTACTGACAATGCAGCTGTCACTCGACCTGGCAGTCAGACACAAGAATGGGTTAAATTTGAAGAAGAACCTGCTGGACCAGCAGCTGCATCAACTCCAAAAAAGCCGGACCATGCAGATATGCCATCGAAAACAAGTGTTCCAGCACTTATAAAGCCAGAATCGGTGACTGTTGATGTTAGTAAAATCAGTAAATCTTTGGATGCAGCAGATATGGAGCAAAAGCAAAGAGAAAGCTACAGTGGAGCTGTGTTGGCAACTAATTCCGTTCAAATTAATGTAGACAGATCAGGGCTGAGTAGATCAATGACAAGTGAAAGTCCAGAATCTAACCTACCAAGTTCTGGTGCAGGTGTTTATAATCCAAAAAGTGCCTCGCTGAAAACTATAGACTTGAGAGATGCCTCTAATGGTAGAAACGTTATAAGCACGCCCATCGGCAATATTAGACAAGGTTTTGCAAATGGTGATACCATTGTGACTCTTTTACCAGTTAACACTAAGTGGCCTTGGATAACTCCAGCTAGGTTTCGTCCAGAACTAGTACCTGAAGAGCTCATGGCACAAGGACTTACAGTTAGTATTTTTCAGTTTATGTCCGAAAAAAAAAAATGTAAACAAACTGATTTAAAAAAATTTCATAATTTGTAAATTTTTTTTTCTAATCTTTTTCAGTTAACAGTTGAAGATTACGTATACATAATGGAGCTTCTTGTAAACGATGTTCGATTCAACATGTACAATATTTGCTACAAAAGGATTCTTGTAGTATGGATATTTACTGCATTTGTAGTCTTACTTGGATTATTGTTCTCTGGAGTGACTGGACTCACATTATTTGGTTTAGGAGTCATGTGGCTACTTCTAAATGCTGCTGCCATATTTTTGTGTATGTTCATTAAAATCAAGTTGAATCACAATTTAGAAAGGTGTATGGCACAAGTTAATAAGCACTTACTAAGACACAAAATTTTACTGGGCCTTGATGACAGAGGAAAGATATCCTGCCACAAAGTCAATTTGTGCTTTATTTATTTTGACACAACTGACTGCATTGTAAGTAAAAATAGTTTCTTTGTTTGCATTTTCTAAATTGATAATTTAACTCGTAATATACACATCCTTGTCGTTCGAAAAAATACTTATTTTTATTGAAAACTTGAATTACTTTTTACTTGGTAAACTGCAGTTACTACCGCTATTTTTGTTACGTAAGTCAACGATGAATCATTCTTATTTTTGCTCAGGATTTATGTCTGAGAATAGCTTCTGAAGTTTAAAATATGCATTAAAGAAATCAACACGACTTGCAAATTTTGTCCCCACGAAAAGTGGGCGTTCATATGATCAAAATTTTTTTTTGTGCATCTCATATTACAGAAAAAGCTACAGGAGGTAATCGATCGAGAAGAGCGGGAGGGTCGGGTGTTAGGGAACGACGAGGGCATGCGGACGCGCCGCCAACAAGAGCTTCAGCAGCGCATGGACATCGATGATAGTGACATAGTCATTCAAGGCGCAACGACGACGCGCGTCTCCCGCAAACAGGTTTGTGTCCCCCGTATAATTTATGTGCCTTCAAATGTATATATTTATTATTTACTCTATTACGTAAAAGCTTCCTTCTCGCATTTTTACACGTTACTGCAATTCTGCTTTTGTTTCCCGTCATGTGTTTACTGTTAAGCGCTCTATAATTTTTTTTTTTTTTTTTTTTTTTTTCTTTTAACAACTTGCTTTGGTTTCAAGTAAATAAATAGCGATGCAAACTGAGTCTGATAGTTTTCAATTTTCATAACAAATAAAACCAATAAATAACTAAAATACAAGTATTATATTAAAAAAAAAAAAAAAAAAATTATGAAACTACGTTATTTGGTCATCTTATTTATTTACTGAAAAGCAATAATTTGGATGCAAAAAGGTAGTGCGAGTTTCTCTATTACTTTGAAAAATGGATGTCGAAAGCGCCTCTTATACACGATAACTAACAAAAACCACATGCATGCAAAAATAAACTGATTCAAAATGGATATGAGGAAAAAAATAAAATTAAGAACGCGATGAAGCGAAGCCGACCCAACATAAATCACCATAACCCAATCTAATATGTGTATATTGTGTATGTCTGTTTTTTCACACACATATTGAACTGAACGATGGGAAAAAAAAAATTCCACCACACGCACATCCGAACACCCGCACACACAAACGATAAAATAGAGCAAAAGCGAGCAGGTGTTGTGCCGGTACTCGCAGCGCTGGGCCAAGGACTACTTGCGCCGTCGTCTGGATTGGACGGTTGACGAAGAAGGTGGTAATCCTTCTTCACCCCGGCATCTTACTTCGGCTCTATGTCCCTGCCAATATGTCGAAGAATGGTTGCGTAATAAGAGCCACGTGCAAGGACGCGATTTCTGTCCCGCTTGGAGTAGTTTTCTTCGTGACCAGGGAATTTGAGATAATTTTTTTTCCCCTTTTAAAGTGGAAAAAAAAGTAATAGTGGTACTGGGATGATGACAATAGTGGCGATCGTTGTGATGATGATTGCTATTTACTTTTGCTCCCTCGTCTTTATAACTGTTTTGCTCTAATAAGCTATAGACAAGAACTGATGCACCAAGCGAGATCTTCTGGTGTTAAAACAGCTCAATTACTTTAATTAACAGTAAAAAATCACAGATTTATAATGATGTCTTTGTACTATGTACGTAACTTAAAACGAACTAACAGATTTATTTTAAAAATATTACACACACTGAAAAGCATCCTTATAATATGTAATCTGTCATAAGCCTCTAAAATGGCTTATTACCTTCTGGCAGAACCAAGCCATTCCGCACACAGTCTGGTTTACGTATGAAATAGATACTAAAATTAATCTAATGTATCATCGTATGGTCGTTTAAAATAGCGTAAAAAACAAACTTTGAAAGTGTGGTTTCTGCTTACTGAAAAAAACAATTCAACTCAATTCAACTTGAGGAAAGACAAGCACCCTGTACATATATATAGTAAAGTATCCATCCATTGATTGGACAAAAAATGCGTAAGAAAGATAATACTTTGAGAAATTCACTGTGCCGATTCTTGATGTTAGGAATCTAGTGCTTTATTTTTTTTGCTGTTGACTGTGTGTGTACAAATATTTCAGTGCCTTATTAATTAATACTTAAATCAGCACTAATAAAAATTTTAGTGGTTTTAAGTTTATTACAAAACCTATGGTTGTATCTGACTATTAATCATATTACAGTGCATTCCCTCTACAACATCAACCCCTGAGGTTGTGTTCCCTTTTTCAAACAATGTACTGCATTCTTGACCTCTGTCCTTAAATTAGTATTATGTATTAAGCATAATAGACCATATACTTCTCAAAATCCCAATTCTCTGTACTGGAGTTATTCCGGTAGTACCATCTTCGACAATTGCTATCTTTATTATTAATTTCCCACCTGCATCCCTCTTTCTTTTTCTGGAGTGCTCTCCAGGATTACCTTTATAGATTCAGATATCGATTTTCTAAGCCCAAATCTAGTAACTCCACTTCTAAATTCAAGAAAGCAAGTATGTAATTCTTGCTCAACTACTGTTGTTACGTATGAATTTTTGGAAGTTGCTATTTTCTAGTCAGCCGTAGTCGTATTCGGCGTCTTTATCACCCGTTGAAAGAAATTAAAAAAAAATAATTTTCACTACTCACTAAGCATTACATTATTCCCGTGAACAATTCTTACCTGAGGTTTAGCAAGGATCCTACAAATTATTTGTGATTAAAGTAAAACTCTCAAAGTAAGGCATCACCAGCCATTTTATTTTTCTCGTCACCATTAAAACATTTGTTAGTTTTTATGGCGTTATCTTTGTCGTCTAATCGACGATTCTTTTTTTTTTTTTAGTGTTGAATCCTTCTTTTAGTTCCTGCTTAGCATTGCTTTTTATTTCATGGTGGTCAATAGACCCATAATGTCGTTGATAAAGTTGTCTTTCATAATATGTTAAATTTACAACAAACTTATTTAAAAAATTTATCAGGCACTGAATTAAATTGTACACCACATATTTTTCACGATTAAATCAATTTTTAAGTGTATATATCATCCTATGACGAGATGCTACTATTGTATCATTTGAAAAAAAATCTGTATGTTGCATGGATTTTTTAAATATTAAACATTTTCTGACGTAAAGTAATAAGAAAAAGCGTCGACTTTAAGAGAGAAAATCAACCAGAGTAGTTGGTGAAAAGATGGTTGGTTTTTTTCAGGAAAGTTACAAAGGCAAGTAAAAGACAAAGTGCTTTTTGGCCACATAAACATAGTACGTATGAAATATGTACATTATAAAGTATCCGTCCTGATCAGTTATCTAAAGATTTCAGTTACAAACCCATACACTAACAACGATCGTATTTTATTTACTCATCAGTATGTACAGCTACATAAACGCATTACACAGCTCTGACTCACGTTACGTGATTTTTCCAATCCTTGGTTTTTTTTTTTTTTTTTTTTTTTCAGACGAGTAAGTAGTGTATACTTCTTGTTATAGAATAAAATTATGCACAACAGTGCAACCTTGTCGAGAATTTATACGGCACGTAATCAACCGCTGCTATCCAAGACTATATTTATAGTACCGAACACAATACGCTCGTTATTGCATGATTTTAAAACGAAAATTCCTTAAAAACTTTTATATTTTCATAAGCCGTTTAACATTGAGTTCGGTGTTTTTTAAAATCATTTTGGGAATTCATAGAACCCCTTCAGATCTTTACACGTGGGTCTTGTGAATACGTACTTGTTTGTTCTGTATATTTCGAGTCAGTAAATTAAACATATTTTACAAATCCGAGTACAAACATTTAAACTTATTTACAATTAAAAATAACTTTGATCGTACAACAGGTAAAATGTCATTTGACGTCATCATAATAATATCGAATCATTAAACTATCTGTTATGCAAAAAATTATATAGTTAAGTTCATATAGTACACAATATTTATCCACAGAAGTTCTTCAGAATGACGTATACAATTTATTACATGATATAGCCCATACCATGCATGACCATCTATTTAACACAGTTGTTATGATTCAGTTGTTTTTTTTATTTTGTACGTGTACCGATGCTTAATCTACATCTTAATACGCGTTGATTCCATGAAACACATTTTTCGAGTTCGATTATTATAAATGTATTGTTAAACTTTTTATATTTTATACAGTTTTAAATTAAATCAATTTTTACGATGTTTATGTAGTATTTGTTTTAACAAACTTGGTTTTATATAAATATTAATTTTAAAAAAATTCTTTTCGTGAAATTCAGTGCAGCTAAGTGTTCCATGTACCTAGTTATTATTAAAGATAAAAAGCAATACTTTGATGTTACCGAAACATAAGTTACAAATAATTTGAAGATTGAGTATAAATATGTATTAAGTTTGAACGTTACTACTATAGTATTACTTACTAATTGCAGAATAATACAGTATATTTTGATTAAACATAAATAGGCTTTTAACTGTTGGATTGAAAAAAAACAAAATGTACTTATGAAAAAGACAATTTCTTAGCGTAAGATTTATGACTATATATTTAGTAAGAAATGTACCATTTTTCAGAATATGTTTATAGTTTATTGAAAGACGTAGTAAACTGAATGTGAACATTCCGTCCAAACTTTGTAGTGATTTTTGACTGAAAAATGAAAAAACAAAAAAAACGTAGTATTGTACAATTAAAGGTGATCAACGTCTCTCGTAACGGGACTTTAAATACATTGTTAAAAAGGGAGGTTAAAATTTTAATGGACGTTAGCGGGTATTCGCAACAATTGTGCGAGACCCAGTGTTTTTGTGATATGTGTCAATAGTTTAAAGAGAAAAAAAAAACTTGTTCTCGTACCCCAGTGTATATACATAAAAAGAAACAAATGTATAATTATATTTATAGACATAATATATATCGAAAGAGCATTCCTCTATAAATTTAAATGTTTGATATGAAAAAATGAAAATGGAAATAAAGAGCTTTTATTTCTCTAATTATAAAGCACTGCTTTTTATTACTACTCAATTATATCAGTTCCTCTCTGTCCTTAACCGCGTGTATATATCATAACAGTGCATTCGACGTGCTTAGATGCTTTATAGTGACTAAATCGATAAAACGAGTTTTAACGATTTAAATTCCTTGATACAATGAATATTTCGTGGTCGAGCGCCCTGTTGTGTAAACACGTAAAATTGTACCTTCCACCTCCAAATCCTTTTTCCAAACTGTGACTAGCTGTTCAAACTATCTAATCAATTTATTGATAAACGACTGGAAGCTTCTTTAAGTTTTGCTTGTAACTATGTTTATTTCTGCTTAGCCGAGATGGTTTTAGATCTTAAAGGTAGTGTGCAACATTAAAATTTAAAGGAATTAACATAAAAATGAAAAAAAATTGCAGCTGCTTTAAAATCTAAAACTTTCGTACGTAGCTATTAATCTGTAAATATATAGTCGTTGTCAATGCACCGTAATAAAACCATCTAACCAAATAACAAGAAGAAAACAAGCAATGGTGGAAAAAAAAGGAACGCAACATTTTGTAATTTACACGTGCACGTAAATAACATTAAAGACGTTTCAAACATTAACAATTACACATTATTATTATTTTTTTTTTTTAATGATTCGGTTGTTGTTTAGCGAAAAAATTGAAAAATTGAAAGAAAAAGAAAAAAAAACAAAACAAAAAAAACACCCCTCGTGTGTCGGTAGGAGCGAGCCGAGCTGTTACTCCTGAGGTACGCGTCGCGCTGGTCGCACCATTACGTGCGCCGTAGGCTCGACTTGGCCGTAGACTCGCAGGAGCGCAATCGGATCAGCACATTGAACGCCCAGCCGCCACGGCACTGCATCTCGGCCCGATGTCCCTGCCAATTCATCGAAGAACATCTCAAATTCAAGCCCAAAGGCAAGTTAACACTACGTAACTTTTTCAAAATGCCGAACTTCGATTTCAAGTGATACGACATTGATCACGATTATTATGGCGAAGATGACGACGAACATGTAATTGTGTTATTACCTACAACTAACGAAAAGCACACGCTCGTATCACCAAATACCAATGTGCGATTAATAGTTTTTGTTAATTACTCCGTACATCTGCTATTGTTACTATCTATAATTTTCTGTGGCAGCTGGAACTTTTTATTTCTTTACACGGTAGCACACAATAACAATGTAAATATACGTGCCGTTATTTAAACTTTAAGCTTGAAGGGGTTGGCGGAGCTGGGTACTGACTATTTTTTTATTTACACTTACCTATATATACTAATCGTAATGTCGTTCAAATTAACACTTATTAAATGAATAAATACCAAAATCTATTTCCTAAGCCGTTGATTCTCGCAAGATGGTAATTATTTCGGTCCGAGTGGGGACGCAAGTGCGAGAGTCACGGCATACACCAGTATGGTGTTATTATCCGAGCTTTTTTTCGATGTTCAGTGTTGCGAAGGAACGAGCCAACTTGGAGTGCTTGTTTAATTATCATTGTACAAACACTCGTGCGAAAAGTGATTACTTTACGTACGATGATCAAATAGTTTTTTTTTTTTTTTTTATACAAGAGGAGTTGAATTTCAAGCATCAAGAGTAATTTTCTAAAAAATCTTATGTTATTGTTTGTATTTTTAACTTGCATATAATAATACGAGAAAAATATTATTTAGCACCATAAAATCTTCGACTGAAAAGACGTTTTTTCGATAACATTCAGCAGGTATGGACAGAAATACTTGTATGAAAATTAATCAATTGAAAATTTCGTTGTATAAAAGTAAAGAGGCGACAAGTACTTACTTATGCCCAGTTGGATGTGCGATTATTACTCAGCGCCAAGAAAATATGCTTATTTATTGCAATAGTGCTTTTGTCATACAAAAAGAAGCTGTCAATTACAAATTGCTTGTAATTGTTTATTAATACTTATGAGGTAGAATTTTATGGCACGCCTTTTTTATAAATATACATGAAGCTATGCTATGCTAGCGAAGACAAAGTCATATCGTGGAAAATCTTTTTTTCACAGCTTAGACGCCGTCTAAAAAGAGTGAACTGCACTCAATCGATGTTGATCCGTGTACTCAATATCCTTCTAACGATAATAGCAAAGGCAATGTGCATTTCTTCCAATTACGAGAACAACAGTGATAATGTAAAATCATACAGTAATTAAATACATTTTTTATAATTGCAAAATCAAAGTAGAAATATGTGAATCAAAAAATTTTTAATGTAAGTGAAAAAAAAAAATTTTCAAAGTAGCTCAAGACTTTTATATAACGAGTATTGAAGGTGATAATGCACAGTAATCAACTCACATTATTGACCGGTCCTGTACCCCGTTGATGTACATTTTACAAAAATGTATTTTCTTCGTTGCGTATCAACATTTGAAATTTTTTTATTAAATTTATTGAAAGAAAAAAAAAAAAAAAGAAAAAAACAAGAAAGGCTGTGTATTTATGCAATTATTTTTTTATGAATTACAAAAAAATGTAAAGATTCACAAGTGCAGAAAAGTATAAAATCTAACAAAACAATAACTATGAGAGGAATTTTTTTTTTTTTTTCATGTGTGTTTGCATTCGTATAGCGTAATGTAAGCATCTGAACATTCCCGTAAACTTAGAAATGCGATTTGTTGTAAGAAAAAATCTTAAATTTTGTTATGAATCGGTATAAAATTTTAATATCAATGCCTTACCTGCCAAATAATTACTCACGATATAAGTATTTTTCTGTATTTTTAATACATGTAGGTACTTGCATGATAATTTAAAGAAAAAAACAGAGTAAAAATCCGAAAATACTGCAAACTTTCTAAATCAAACGTTTTTACCTCTCATCAAACCTTTAATTTAATATTTATCTCAACCAACCAAATAGAAAAACGGTGTAAAATTGAGAAACACATAGTTGGTGGAAGTAAAGAATCCTCGGATCACATGTTGCCAATAGTATATTATAATATATACACGCTATCTCAGGAATCCTTTACTTTAACGTTTTATGTGTTTAATGTACTTAATATTTTACACCAATTCGTCGAAAAATATATTTATATCGAGCAATGGGAGCAAAAAACCTGCTTTAAGTAGATGGACAAGTTGAATTTTTTAAAAGTAATTTTCACGCACATTTTTAGATATTAACGCTTACACGCTTTTTGATGTACTTACATACAACAATTGCTTTTTTTACGTACCGACAACAATTAGCACGAAATTGCGCTCTTGACATTCAATATTTGCAATGATACTTAATCGAATTAAAGTACATAAACTCTTCATAAAATATGCATGTTGCATGGTTCGGTTTTTATTCATGTATGGTTTTTCGTGTATTAACAGCCATTTTTTCGAGACACTAATGGTAGCTGAATGTTTAAAACTGTCGTAAAAAAATTTTGCGTTAAAAAAAAATTTTTATATAGTATAGATAAGTGTTGTGATTAGATCATCTGTTTGTATTAATTGTTAGTATTTATTAATTATTAGGTGGTTCATTACTGAATGTTAGTGTTCAAAATTTGACTGAATGCTCATCTCATTTACGTAAAAATAAACAATGTATTGCACAGTAAATAATGTAATACTAATGTCTTAATATTTTTAAATATAGCTGTGTCTATCTTTTGTCCTATAGTTATCAATTATTATAATTAATATTGGATATTTTACAAAATTGTTCTACATTAATTCGTCAAGAACTCTATCGACTGTAATTTTTGTATAAAGTATTGTGCAAACGATGTAGATGATGTTTGAGAAAAAAAACATTTTTTAATATATACCTATAACGCTATAAAATTATCAATATTTATAAAACTTTATCACTCAAGTGTCTTACAAATCACATGAATCAAGTATATACTCACACTGTTACTAACCTTACATATTTGATTGCATGGCTGTTATTAAATTATTGCTTTACACGTTCATAAAAAATGAATTTTTCCTACTTTGGGCATTTTTTTTTACTCTGGAAGTTTTCTGCGCTTTTGGCAGGAAAAGCAGGACTCGCACCTGATGTTGCATCCAACCAGGGCAAGCACAAGGGGCCCCTCGGGCCTGCTTGTCCAGGTAAACACGAGCACATTAGGGACGAAGTGTAATATTAATGACAATTACTCGTCACGTTATAATCGACTTATATTTTAAATTAAAAAAGATACTTATAACAACCTAAACACTGCCATTTGATGTTATTATTGGAAATTAAGCGTGTACTACAAATAATTCGTATTATTTCGAAAAACGTCCAGTATTCCTAGTAGATTAAAGAATCTCATCTTTTCTAATGAACTTTAAATTTAACTCTGAAAATTTTTTGTGCCTATGGTGAAAAATTTTATTTTTAATTGAGAAATTTAGATTGCTATTTTACACGAAAAATATCCTATTTTTAACCAAATTAGCAACATTTTAAAATTCAGACTTTTGTTCAAATTCACACAACTATGTACTTTTATTCTTGCTTATTAATTTTTGTATACATTTGATCGTTCAATTGTATTACAAAGACGACGAGATATGAAAAGCAATAATAATCTTTGTTATATTATTTTCGGGCTTAAAAAAGTATGTGACGTATTATTTTATGTTAGTAACTCATATATTTTTCTTACTCTTGAAGAGGGCTAAAAGATTTTTGCAAATCACCTTAGGCATTTCAAGTAATTTGGTGAAATAAAAATGCAACTTAAAACATTATTTTACTTAGAAAAATATAATTTATGGAATCCTTTTTTTACATAAAATACAAATATACGTTTTCAAATCTTGTATAGTTATGAGTCCACTGACTATTTCTGATGATGAGCAATGCAATAGTACACATTTACACCAAGTATTTTTTGTAAATTATTTTCAAAAGCTTTTGCTATGAAATGCGTGACTAACAATTGAATAATATGTATCAAAGCCGTCCCAGACGATAAGTAAATATAAAATAATACACACAACTTTGTACTTGCGACTTCAATGCTTTAAGACAGCTTTATCTTTTTATAATGGGTTGAAATGCAGAGCGATATTTATAATACAGAAATAAATGTATGTGATGTATTAGTAATTTTCGAAATAACATTTATTATATTTTGTAAGCTTATATTGATTGTTAAATATATGTACCTCTGTCATCATATCATAAAATCATATTTGTTTTATTCGATTCAAACTGATTGAATCGGCGATCCTGTTTATTAGTTCTTTGCTATCCTTTGATAAAAATTCCTTTTTATAAAAAATTGTAACAGTTTTTGTCATATCAAAATCGTTTTAAATTAGTCACATTTGACTCAACGGAGACTAAATTGTTTTCTAAGAAGTACTAAATACATTACACTGATTTAAAAAGTTGTAGAGAAAGCTTTTAATATTCTGCACCCAAAGAATGCGATGCTTTTTCTTGGTGACGGTGGCACTTCAGTTTACTTTCAAGGAATACATGTCGAATGTGCAATTTATTTGAAAATACGTGAGTATTTAACTTTTAAACATTTTGTAATTTATATTACACATTATGTGTGTAATGTATTGTATATCTTTGTGTGTAATGTTTCTCAAATACTTTATTATGTATTATTTAGTAATTTCTGTTAAATTATCATTGCAGGATACCCCCCTGGTTTTACATGGTGTGCTTACTTTTCTGATCCAGGATTGAGATTTGACTTGTATGAGAGTTATCTGCGACCTTAATTTTTTTTTATAGAAACGGCCTGAACTAAAGGTTTCCTAGATGATGTAAACATTTTTAAATGTCGAAATAAAGAGCTGACATTGAAAAAATACTTTCAAATGCTTAAACGTTTATTTACAAGATAAAAAAAAATGTATAGTCAAATTAAACATTTAGTATAATACACGGTTTTATTGACAAGAAATAAGTATAGTTTCATTGAATTAAAGCTGCTTGAGCTTGCACTTTGATTTCTTCGGTTTTTTTTAACATATCGTTAACACTGGTCTCTAACTGTTCTCCGCTATCACTTATAGAATCTTTTACCACTTGTAATTTTTTATGGACATCAAGGTAAGTCTTAACTTTTTCATAAACATTGTTGAGTTCATTCATTTCTAATGATTCAGGACTGTCGTGGTATGCTGACTCTGGTTTAAAGCAAATAATTTATTGTTAAATAAGTTCAAGCTATGTGCATACAATAAGCATACTTACATTTTATGTTTAATAAAAATACCAACTTAACTACTAATGAAATTTTAGTACATGCAGAAAAAGTCAGTTAACTGCTATGTAACAAGAAATCTCATCAATTAATAGATATGAATTATTTGACTTCAGAGTTACAGAATTTTATCGCTATGAAAAGTGAACAAAACGTAAAAAATTGAAAATCAAGTGCGTGAGTGTAAAAGAATCACCTCTAGCCAAAAGTTTAAATGCCACATCATCCTTATTTCTTGAATTATCTAGATCCTCCAAGAGTTCATCTACCCCAGGAGGCTTTGGCCTCGGCGGTAGTGTGTGCTTTTTATTTCCAAACATGAGATATAAAATTAATGTTTCTCAAACTTCTATTCATCTCCAACTATAAAAAAGAACTTTTTCACCATTTCTGTTTGTTTTCATCGCAGCTGCGTCAACAGCTGCATTTTGAGACAAAGTCGATACTCTGTTAACTGACTTATCCACAGTAGGTCGAGGGAAAGGTTTCTGATATACCAGTAGCTGTTTTTTTTCTTCTGCTATATATGTGGGTGTTATTCGCAATCGTCACCAGCAAGTATGTACGTAGAGTGCAAATTTAAATTACTTGGTGGTGACGATTGCGGAAAACACCCCGAGCGGCGTTACCACCACGACCTACGTAACTTTACAGCCTCTGATTTTATCATTCTGGTAAAGAGAGCACGGTGTAAGATGTACATGAAGTTATGCGTAGTAATTAAAGAAATTAAAATAATTACTACTTAGTAATGCCATATGGTCGATTTTATTAAAGCATATGAATATCTATATTTTTGGACGTCAACTTTTAAGTAAAAAATGAACTGTAAACTTGCCGCAAACAGCACAGACCTCGTCAACTTTTAATTATCTATCTATAAGATTAGTTGCGGCTGGTTTATAATTGATTAAATGGCTTTAATATAAGAAGTAATAATTATTTGGATCAGCGCCATCTAGCGTTGCGAATTTCTGAACTAAAAAGTGGCCCTAAACTTTTAAACCAGAGCTTTAGCGCGTAGAGCCATTTAATTAATTATAAACCAGCCGCAACTCATGACGAAGCTATAAAATGAAAAAACAACAAAACATGTGTTTTTGGCGGCAAGATAACAATCTATTTTCTACCAAAAAATTGACCTCTTATGTGTTTATACTTTAGAAGATAAATTTTCGAGCATAAGATAGATTGTTATCTTGCCGCAAAAAACACACGTATCGTTATTTTTTTTATTTTATAGCTTCTTCATAAGTTGCGGCTGGTTTATAATTGATTAAATGGCTCTAATCCTGATTGCTCTGATTTAGAATTTTAGGAGCCACTTTTGGCCAAAAAATAAAGACCGCTAGATGGCGCTGATCCAAAATAATTATTGCTACTTACAGTAAAGTCACTTTATTAGTTATAAACCAGCCGCAACAAATCTTATAAATAGATAATAAAAAGTTAACATTTTTTGTGCTGTTTGCGGCAAATTTACAATTTATCTTTTACCTTAAAATCAACCTCCAAAACCATCAATATTCTACTTATCTTATATGGCTCATAAAATCGACAATATTTACAAAATTACAATACTCTTGACCTTTTACCATTAACTTATGTAATCACAAATTAATCAGTCCAAAAGAGGCAACCGAAGAAAAAAGGCCTGAAAAAGAAGCACAGTCACACGAAGAGTCTCATATAAGAATGGAGCATTGGATCTCACTTGATCAGAGAAGGTTGGGTTCTTTGTTTACTTATAACACTTAAAATTTTCATCTCTGTAATGTATTTTTCAATGAGTGAGATGGGGCTATTTTTCGTAATCTGGCCAGTTAAAACAGCAGACGACGCGAAAGTCGAGAAAAAGTAAAGATTTCATCGCTGTTGTATATATATGACTGTCGTCTGCTATTTTAACTATTTAATTACGGAACAGAGCGCCAGTTAATTCAAGGTAGTTGACTTACCGATCTGACGGTAACGTAGAGCGCAACCTTAAATTACTTGCTGGTGACGATTGCGGAAAACACCCTTGATGGTTATGTTTTATGTTTATGTTTTGTCAAATTGACATGTATACGGTCTGATGCAAGTGATGAACGTTTGCTGGACGAAAAATAAACATCCTGTAAAGTTATTTTGTCCGTGATTATTAAAAATTAGCAAACATTTTTGAGACAATGTCGAGGGCAGGCACTAGATTAGACTCTAAAAAAGTTGTAAGTTTTTGTAGAATAAACATATAGTTTATTAGTAATGAAGTAATGATTGTTTTTTTTTTCAATAACTTACAATGAGAAAATAAATACTTACTAGCATAATTGACATTTTAGAACTCGGAGCTCTTCACACTTACATATGGAGCACTAGTAGCTCAGCTGTTGAAAGACTATGAAAATGTTGATGATGTCAACAAGCAATTGGAACGAATGGGTTACAACATGGGCATTCGCCTAATAGAGGACTTTTTAGCACGAACGGGATCTGGAAGGTGTTATGATTTCAAAGACACAGCTGACAAAATTCAGACAGGATTCAAACTGTTTTTGGGCATTGCCCCAACAATAACAAATTGGAGTGTAACAGGTGATGAGTTTTCTCTGTGCTTTGAATCAAACCCTATTACCGAATTTGTAGAATTGCCAGATCACTGCCTCAATCTTAAGTACTGTAATATATTGCCTGGAGTTGTAAGAGGTGCTTGCGAGATGGTTCAGATGGAGGTTGCATCATGGTTTGTGCAAGACCAGCTGAAAAATGATAGTGTTACAGAGTTGAGGGTGAAATTCATCAAGAGATTAGAGGATGCTATTCCTGCTGGTGAAGATTAATTTTTATTTATTTAAACTTTTCATGTATAATAATACACAAGTCGGTTATTGTTGTAAATTTTTGTTATTTTTGCTCAAATTATATACAAAACAATATACAGTTTATAGCCAAACTTACTCTCTGTGTAATGAGTATCATTTTCATGAATCTTATTCTTCTAATAATTTTATATTTTACTGCATCATGTATGAGACTTTAAGTTAAAAAACTATCTAAAATTATAAGTTAGTAATGTAATTAATAAATAACTAGTTTTATTATCTCAAAGCACTTTTGATATGTAATGAACACCAATCAGCATTCCTATTTCTACTTTTTTTCTTTCACAATTTTTTAATCCAATAATTTATATATTTATCTGTTATACTTCAGCCATTGAATCTAGTAAAATATCTTATACTTCTTTTATCTTTCAAATAATTATAAACTGTGTAAAGCATCATGTGTATGGTTTCTTTTTTTTTTTTTTTCTTTTAATTATCTCTTCTAAATGTATTAATATATATGTACTAGCCGCATAAACATGGTAAAAAAAAAAATTTTTTTTGGATTTTTTTCTCAACGGAAACAGTGTAACTGTGCACTGACGTCAAAAAAATCATTGATGAGCGGAGCTATACAAGACGCGTCAAATTTGCGTGAGTATTCTGAATATTTTATTCATTACTTGAACCAATCGTAAATAATTGTACTACGAAAAGACCAGCAAGATGTGTGCGCAAATATTTGTAATGTGATGTCGTTGCAGTTTCAAATACGATACGAAAAACAATTTGTAACATATAATCTGATGAGAGATCAATTAATAATTTATTTGATACTAATCCAATCCTTTTTTCGTTGCACTACGGTTACTGTATTCCTCATTGTTATGTTTTTTACATGCGCTATATACACTTATTGCAATATATACACACACAAATGCATGCTTTTAGTCGACGAGGCGATCAGAGCTGTCAAAATTATTGCAGGACAGATCAGCCGGCGACGAGAATCAAATGTCGTTTTCGTGATACCAGAATTCACTATATCTTACACAAAACTTTGGTTGTGCCTTAAAGTGATATCTCTATAGAAATAGGATGATCTCTGTATTTTTTATTTAAACAAATACTTCATAAGTACATACACATTTGAATAAATTACGAATAAAACGGTAAAGTTATAATTAATTATAATCAGCGAATGTGCGATGCGATATGTCAAGCAGCAATAGCAGCATACGACGCACGTGTGCGACGTCCTCTCGCGGCATCCATCAACAAGCTCTCTGTGACGCAATAGCAACTCGTCCTTTTCGTCGCGCTACTGTGAACGGAACATGTCGTATACCAACGAACGAAGGTAAGCCTGTGATCTTTTTAATGCGATAGTGCTTAATTAGTGACACACAGACACCAGGATCGCGTCAAGCATCATCGGGTCAACCAGTGCGCGTGTTCGCGGGTGTGGACTCGGGTAATCTTTTCTGAAATTCTAATCAGAGTTTCATTGTGATGCACAGGCTCTTTCGCGCTTTTTGGCAACATGGCGCGCTCGAGTTCCCCGCGCTTCGCTCCTGGCCGCATGCAAGTTGCATGTGCAACTCTCGACTTAGACGTTTGCCAATTTGCAAATTTTACTCGTCTCTACGCCCTTGACTCTCCATCACTACTGTTCTCTCATGTTTGTTTTGTCCTCCGAGGTAAAATGTTCTATTCATTTTGCAAATTCCAAGTGACACATGAGATGACATTGCATTGCTATAATCAAGACCTTTGCTAACCTTACCTTATCGAAGGGAGCGACATTCCTAGAATACGGGCGTGGAGTGATAAATGACACATCTTGATATTGGAATTTCTTCGGAGGCTGATAACAATGTGGTCGATTTGGACGTGTATGGCTAAGCTAATTGAACGCTGTCGTCGCCCCCATGACCCTTTTTTTTTGGCCCCCGTAATTCAATGTGCACCAACACACGTGAGAAGTCGTGAGTGTTTTATCGAGACGTTTTGGAGCAACATAGTGTATACTTATTTCGGAAATTTCTGTTACATTTTGCAATATGTTCAAAAACACCGTACCTACGTTTGATGTCCTTTAAAAGCTCGCACCATGTTTTAAATACATGATAAGCGCTTCCAGAACTTTGCATTGCAAATACGTATGTACATTACATAAGGTATGCACGTAATTTTAGCAAGATAAGCTTGTGTGTATTTTCCCTTTAATTAAGTACAAATGCGTGGCGCAGACCTCGACAAAGTAGGACAGGGGCCAGTAGTCGATGCTGCCGCGGTGACAACATTTGCTCCAAAATACCTTGATCATAAAACCCACACACTCACACGCATTACTTAAAATTAAAAGGCCATGTATAAACAATCTTTTTCCTCCCTTTACTTTTATTAACGTTCGACTTATCTGTTTGCATACACAGCCGGGTCCCTTTACAGCACTTTCCGAGTTATCCCCGAATTATTTATAAATGCTTGCCCAACTTTTGTCTTACCCATACAATGACATTGACCATTGTAAAAGTGTAAGCTTTAAGGTATTCGTTAAGTGCAGTAATTTGTAAATGCTATAACTATACATATAGGTAGAGAGAGAGAGAGAGAGAGGGGGGGGACAGGAAGGGAATAATAAACTGTTCGCGCTAATTGTACCGTCTTGAGCGCGTTGGCGTGGGTCCGTTAAGTTCCGGGACAGCCTACTTACGTATACCTATTTGTATTGTAGGCATTATATATAACCCACCCAGTTTGGTTTACGTACAACAGAGCAAGTGAAATGGGATTATCGAGTTGTACATTCTTGACATATATAATTATAAATTTTCCGTTTTAAACGGTTTATACGCCTCAAGACGCCGGTATATTCAAAGGGCCATGCCTACATGTATATAATATCGTGATTCACTCCCTTGAATGTCCTTTCTCTGTCTCTTTCACTTTCCAAGCTTGGCATATTATAGGCATCGGTGAGTGTGCATGCGCGACCTTCGATCGGAGGTATCACTATACCTACTTACTGCAGGGAAATCTCCACCTTCGTCTCGTTTTTCTTTTCCATTTACTTTTCCCGGAGGCTAGTACAATGGCATCGTCGATACACTTCAAATCAACGGTGCGAATACAGGCGACAAGCAAATTTTTCCACGATGATACTCATACGTACAAATAAGTAGCCAGTAAACAAATGCGCTAGTTCGAAGTTATTCCATCAAGTTCCATTGTGAATATTACACATTGTTACGCGTAACGATGAACTTGAAAATATTTACTGTATCTGATGAAAAAGTGCGTGTTGATGTGGATCTTTTATGACTCGCATACATTTTTATCTTACCTACAGTTTGAATAAGTACTTCTAATCTCTCTGCGACGAGGGAATTAATTCCCTGACGTTTTTTTCCCAAATATTATTTTATCATTAACGAGTGAAGTATAATAATTATTAACGTCATTGGTTACGAAACAGCTTTTATAATAATTATAATTTTTTTTCTTTCTTTTGTTTTCAGTATTTCAATTCCGTTCGAAATGTATTGCAACAAGGGGTGGATTGTTTCTTTTGCGAAAAAAACTGAATGCGCTTATCCCTGTAAAGTTGTGCAATTGTATTAATCATTTTAAAAGAACAATACAAGCGAATGCGGCGGTAAAATCTAAAAAAAAATATTATAACTGTTGACATTTCACGAGCTACATCGGTAGCTTGCAGCGGCGAAGCTTTAATTACTCGAGTATTTAAAAATAGATTCTTTGGATTTCATCGCGCAAAATTGTCGCTGAATTTTTTTTTTAGTCAACAAACTGGGTCTCCATAGCTCGAAAAAGTCTTACGCGTACCGCTATAAACATTTTTTTGTTCATCTTCGCGAATCATCGCTTTGAATAGTTTGACGAAAAGCTCTAGCCGGTCATACAAATGAAAAAGATCTTGCAAGCATTTGACGTTTCTAAAAATCAAGTGATCGAAGTCGACTGTTATTGAGTCGATTAATTTTCGACCCTGTATTTTCTTACCATTACTTTTATTTTTCACCGTTGCGCGTATCAAACGTTAAAGATAACATTAAGACGAGAAACACCTAGTGTTCTAGACCATTCGTCGACAAATTTATCACGACTAAAGGCCTATACAGCGATAAACGTGAATAAATAATAATTAAATCATTCGAGAACGACAAAACAGCTCATCCAGTATTTTTATAAATTTTAAAAGCCGTTCGTCTATTTGGTGAAAAATGGGTGTGCATCGGGACGGGTGCATCGCCCTCTGATCGATTCTTGTTTGTCAATCCTCGTATGATTCGTCACGGGGAACAAGAAATTCACAACCAGTAGGCCAGATACAACAAAACAGGGAAACTTTATCGGGTACACTAGAACTTGTGGATGAAAGGCAGGTGAAGCACAAACCCCCATGACAAGGGTTTCTTTCCCTCTGTTTTTTCTCCCCCACTCTTCCCAGCAGCTGTCCCCCTTTTTTTTCGTTCTCCTGACGCGTCCCCGTTCTTCTTTATCCCTTTAACGTTACGTCTGGTCAAATCATACATTTTTTTCTCTCCATTCATGGGGGGGGGGGGGGATTACCGTAAGAGAAAAAATTCCATTCAAATCGAGAAATTTGATTTAAAGAGATTCTTGTTCGTAAATCATTCATCCAAAGCACAATTCTCGAAAAATCGAACGTTTATTCGCACCTTTGAAAGTCTTAGCTTGGAATTTTGATTCCGTACTTTGGCAAGCAAATTTTATCGCCCCAACGAGAGAAGGTATATTTAAAGCATTCGTAAGAACGCCTTGGCCGATCAAAAATAAATTTTACCTACAAAAAAATACGATTTTTCCTTTCGAGTAGCCCTCTAAGTGGCGGAAAGTAAATAAGTAAATCACCCGATGCAACTGGCTAACTCGTTCAATGTATAAATACTTGTATACGAACAACGCGTGCACGCGGACCTCTTGACTCGATCTCATCCGTCATTCTGTGGTAGACAGTCATTGGATTAGCACTCGAGCTTTTCTATCCGCTAAACTTCCCTGCTCAAAAGTGCCTGGTGCGTTAGTTTGTTTTTTTGGTTCCGATAAATTACTATCTACATCTTCGTTGGCTCCTTAGCAAGTGCAAGTAACAAAACGAAAAAAAAAAAACAGCGCTAGTGGCCGTAGATTTTTTAAAGCTAAGGTTACTTAACGGGCACCACGCCACCACACGCGAGGCCGTCGACGAAAAATCGCCGAAGACTCGGACGAATAAGAGAGAAGGCCGTGAGCCAACATGAGCGAAAAAGGGTAACCCTTTTTTTATGCTTTGCTGTTTCTTTCGTTTGGTTTTCCTTTTTCTCGAGTTTTTTTTTTTTTTTTCCTTCGATTCACTTATAAAACATATAGTTGTATCGACGATTTCGAAGCTTTGTCTCTCTGCCACAGGAATTTGCTTCTTTTCACGGTTCTTGGGTGATGAGTACTAAAAAGCTTTGGTGGATGGAATCCGCATTTCGTTCAATCACACCTACACAGAGTGAATCAATTAATGAATAATCAGCGAATTTTCGATTCGCCCGAGACGTCAGCAGCGCGAAGAATCTCCTTATCTCTCCCCGATGTTCTTTAACATGGGCACACCATTTCCAACACACATACACGTGTTGCACTTGTACTCTTGATGAATAATTCGATCGGACCCTGGTGATTTTTTTAATGGTTGTCTCGCCTCTGTGAATTCTTGAAAGTTCTACGCTAGTTCTCATCTGAAATAATTATATTTACACGTTCAACTTTCTCTGTCCTGTTGCATAAACAACTTATCGATAGGTTCGTGGCTTACATTGATTGAAGAAAAATTTTATGGAAAACGATTTTTTCAGATAATGTTCGAGGACAAGTGTATACCTCATGCAAATGATTCAATTGTTTTTCGTAACGTTTGTATCAGAGAAGTTGAGGGGATTCCCCAATCTTTTTTTTTTTTTT